TAATGTGTACGACTCAGAGGATGTGGTGAAAAGAGTTCGAAGTAGGATTGGCGAACAACGATATGCGCATTTTTCAAATGACTCAAGTCATTATGCTCGTTGGTGTAAACTAAAATTGTATAAAACTGTCACTATAGAAAACGGAAACTGTTGATTTCAATTCTCAGAGAGCATATATCATACACTTAAATATACGATTGTATAGGTTTAGATTTTGATTAATAATTTGTGTCATATCCATTTATCGTAAAGAACAAAATGAGACTGAAGTCTTATGTTACTTCAAATTTAAAAAAAAAGTTGAATATGTTTTATATACTTGAATGGCTAAGTTTAACTATTAAACAAGTGTACCTGTACTTTCTTGTAAAAGAAAATCCATTACCTTTTCAAAACCTTCAGAAATTATTGTCTTTCCGTACTATAATTCGCCGATAATTTGCAGTATGCAGTGATCTTTACTACAAAATCTCGTAAGAACTTCGGCAACCGCACAGCGCAAGTGCGATGAAAAACCCATGATGAAAGATTGTAAATAAACGTGCGATGGAAGGTAAATAGTAAATATTTATTCTAAAAGAACGAATTAAATACACCAAATAATTTAACAACTGTTATGAAAAAGTTTAGATATATAAATATAATAAAAAACATATATTTCAAATATTGCAAATGATTGGACCAAAACACTAAATATGTATTGAGAGTAACATTGAATACCTTACTGAGTATGGGTAGTTCGATTCTTAGGTTTTTGCTTTTGGCTTTATATTCAAATCAAAATTATTCGTTCTTTCGTGATCTTAATTTTTTTTTACGGACAACAATCCAGTCATTACCAAAGAATATAAAAAATAGGCGAGTAAAACCAAGAAAATCAAAATCAAAGTATGAAGACATTGCCATATACTAGTAAACATGATAAAGAAAATATGGTATCACTTTTTGGTTTTGGATCAAATCCCCACTGATAGGTCTTAAAAAGTGTTAAAAATCTGCATATGGTACACCAAGATTGGTGTTGGCTTTATAAAAAACTCTTAAAAACACTTATGCTCTTGTCATCACTTGGCGTCCATCGTCGTCGTCGTAAACTTTTTTAAAAATCTTCTCTGAAACTACTTGGCCAAATGATACCGACCTGTACCTAAAAGTTTTTAGGGTTTCTTGTTTAGAAATAGTATTCGGAAATTGGATCCTTGAGCGAACATAGCCGATGTTGCTAAAAAGGCACCTAGGTTAATATGCAGTTTTTGGCTTTTTTCTCAACTATCTGAACTAGTGCAGTTAAATCAAAACTGACATGAGTGAAAATATAAGCTGGTCAAGTTTTATCCTTTAAAACTTCAGAAAAATCGGACAACCAATTTTGGAGTTATTGCCCCTGAAATATATATTTTTTGGCAAATTTCGAAGTTTTTTGTTATCTTGTTTTCTTGTTAATTATAATAGATAAAAAAAATTCTAAACAGTTAAAATGACAAGAACAATAAGAGCTACAAATAAACCAACATGGACGAAATCATCAATTGATCCCTTATATAAGTTATAGCCCTTGAAATACAATTTTTTGCGGATACTATAATAAATAGAGAGAACTTGAAAAGCAAAAATATTCAGCAAAATAAGATTCACAAATAAGCCAACAATCCAAATATCATCATTTGACCCCTTATATAAGTTAATGCTCTTGTTCTTGCTTCATTGCTGTTTTATTTAAGTAAAATGGTCAACAGTTTTTCCCTAGCTCTTGTTAAACAGTCAGGAGTAAAAGCAAAGCAGACAAATAAACACAGCAAAATGAAAACAAATACAACTGAAGATGAGTCTTACCCCATTTTGTCAAACTGTGTACACTTAAATAATCTTTGTATGTTCTTGTTCATGTCGTGTCTTGATTTTAATACTCATTTCATGTCATCCAGGCAAATTGGTACAATTATACTTTAAAACCAATTAAAACCTGTTTTATAAATGTGCACTTCTTTATCCATTGTTGTCGTTTGTATACGTCTACTACATATATTTTACCCGTGATTTAAACACCAATGACACAGTAAAGGTTGGTACTAAACGTAAGCTGGTCAACTTCACCCCTAAAAAATCCAAGGCAAAATAGTCGTCGCTCTGTCCTTCCGTTGGTGCGTCAGAAAAAGGTCGCCTTCCCAATCTTATCTTGACCAGTTTGCTATTTTTGACACGGGGTTGCGGTTTTGAAGCAAAGAAAAAACTATCAAAGTAAGGAAAAGAGTCAAATTGTCTTTTTGATATTTTTTTGCACCAAATTATGTATTGCACGGAAAAAAACGACACATATTCTATTTCCAGCAATGTTCTTGCTTATGACTTATTAACTGCTGTAAAAATATTGTCTGATTTTCCTGTAATGGGCAGCACGACGGATTTAACAAGTTGAGTTGGAATTACAAAGGAGCTCCAGAGTTCATCTCTTTTCCTTCTTTTTTTTAGGGGGAAGGTGTTTGTAATGCTTTTAGCCATAACTTATTTTCTCTCTTAAGCACTATGTTATTTGTAGTCCTCCTGCTTATCATATGACATGTGATCAGTAAGTCCGTTAGACAAAAACATGAATAATTTACGATATTATACTGTACGAAACGAAAAGGTATTATAAAGCGGGCTTTCTGGATGAAAACAAAGAGCACAAACATAATTTTAGACATGGTATGTTTGTTTGATTGGTATAGATTTGATGCAACCTTTGAATCATGTAACGGATGAAGTATGTAAATCAAGACATACTACCCTGTCAATACAGTTGGTCTCATATGTATTTGTTCGTGGTCATATTTTACATTTTATAGATATAGTTCAGGTTCATAAATTATGCCGTTGTACTAAAATAATGAGACAGTAGTTTTCCGATGTTCAAATCTCGAAAAATCGATCAAGAGACAAATCGAGATAACTAACAAAGACCGAGGTAATCGCATGAACTCCAAAAGAAGGAAACCGTGAGCGTCGACAGGGTAAGCGTCTCCTGCTATGCGGAATGCTGGAATAGAATATATTTTTATTATGAAAACTAAAGGCTCTAAAGAGAGCCTCTGTTGCTCAACTGGATCCATGCGCATCTTAAACAATAGACACTCTCAGACATTGTGGACTAGAATGTATTTCATGATACATTTCTTGTTTGTTAAAAAAAATTACCATTTACCGTTTCTCTCTATCTTCTATACTTTTTGCCTTTAATAAAAAAGGTAAAATTTAAGGGCAATAACTCCATTAAGGAGTCGACTTACAATTTCGGCTTTTATACTTATTTGTAAATCTTGTCTTGCTGATCATTTTTGTTATTTAAAGTTTCTATCTATCTATAAAAGTGGTAAAAATCGTCATTAAAGGTCAATTATTCTAATAAGGAGTCGACTTTCGGCCATTATATTTTTTTGTAGATCTTGTCTTTTTGATCATTTTTGGTATATAAATTTTCACCTTCTATTATAATTTACAAGTAAATAGCCAAACATTTTTAAATGTAAAATTCGTCATTTACGGGCAATAACTCCTAATCCTCTAAGAAGTCTTCTTACAATTTTTTTTTAAATGGACAGCAGGTAGATCTCAACATTATGAACATTTCTGACTAAGTCAGATTTCTTTTTATATAGCGGTTTTCAAGATAATCGACAAAACTTGTATTTTATCCCTATATTCTATTTTTTGAAGCCCTGTCGGCCATGTTGTTCGGCAAGTAGAGTCATCGGTTTTTAAAACAAAATACACCAATGTTGATAATGACCTAGTTTGGTTTTAATTGAAACGGACGACGACGACGGACGACGATGGACGACGAAGACAGACGACGATCGCCAATTGATCATGATATGCAACTTGACCCTTATGGTAAACTGAGCTAAAAATATAAAGTAAATTTAAAAAACACCAGTATCTATTTGAATGACAGGGTATATGAGCCAATAAACAATAAAATAGGCAAAAATTGTTAAAATTATAAAAGAAACATTCAAAAGAAATAACTCTTTAAAGAAGTCGCATGATATTTCTAAGTAAATGAACAGTAGTTAGATCTCAATATTATGAACATTTCAAATTATGTGAGATTTTCTCTTTCTATAGCGGTTTCCAAATAAATAAATACCCCAATGATAATTGTGGCCAAGGTTCTTTCCAATTGGCCCTGTAGTTTCAGAGGTAAAGATTTCTAAAAACGGACGCCAAATAATTAGAATGGCTCACTTGAACCTTATGGTTAGGTGAGTTAAAAATATACTGTAACTTAAAAAAAAACAACAAAAAACCCCACATGTATTTATTTGGATCAAACACTCCAGTGTAATACGATATTTATTCGGGCTTCACATGGGATATTGGCTAATATACTATATGAAGATCCCGAATAACGTATTATTATAAACCCTCCAGTTTATAAAATTATAATTTGTTATACTAAAGTTGTATCATATGTGGTTGACCATTCACAAATTAGGTTATTTTGTGTATGCGCGCTTAGGTTTTGCTGCCAACAAATGTCCGTAATATTTGGCCTTCCAAACTGTTCTTGAGGCTACTTGATGATTGTTATTCAAGAAACATATTCCATGCGCACTGAAATCTATCTTTACGTTTCATTTGATATGTCACTTGGCAAACGGCAAAAAAATCTAAATGATCCGCACATCATACAGACTTTACAGATGACATATATAGTGTACTACACGTCAATTAAAAGATTAAAACAGACATAACATTTTCCGTTATGCTAATGACAGATTATTATGAGAATCGACATAAAATGTGAAACTGAGTGTAATATTTGTGTATATAAAACTGAGATTTTATACAACGATGCCATGGATATGGTATTTAATTTTGTTTACCTTAAAAAAAGGCAAAAAATTGAAATAATGATGAGGGAAGCATTAATGTACTTACTGACATAATTCGCTGCCATTAGATGAAATGCATTTTCCAACATGAATACAAATAACAAAGACAACTGAAATTTTTGGTACCTCCCGACATTGCCGAGAGATTGTAACACATGATCAACATCTGTGCCTGGATCCATGTCGACATTAAACGTATTACTCGGCGGATTAATGTTTCAAAATTTTGAGGTCAACAAATAATACGATGATAAGAAGATGTAGTATTATTGCAAATGAGACAACTCTCCAAAAGTGACCTAAATGACATAGAAGTTTACAGCTATATGTCACCGTGCGGCCTTCAGCACGTAAGATAAGTTTGTTTTGAAAATAAAAAAGTCAGATTGTCACGAAGATAGAATATATATTTTATTAATTGTTATGCAAAGCCACGTATATTGACAACATTAAGATTAAATTTCGAATTCGGGAAAATAAAGTAATGTCAAGATTTTAAAAATGTATTTACCTTTACAATGAATGCTCAAGTTTGAAAGCCATGGATGTATAAATACTTATTTTGAGATTCTATAGAACAAAATGTGATAAAAAAAAGAAACACTCGGTCGCACCGAAATCAATGTTTATCATCGATCCCAAGTACCCAGTAATATTTAAAGGCAAGATTTTAAAGGCACAGTTTATCCAAATTGCAGATTTTTCTCCAAATTTTTCTCTCTCTTTATGTAAAGCGTAAAACGCCAAGAACATACAGTTTCATTAAAGGTAGAAACACAATGTTCTTCAAATTCATACTTTATTTGGACTTTTAACTGTCACTGGTGAGTCTTTTGTAGACGAAACGAGCGTCTGGCGGAGAACCGTATAAGGCTGGTATATTTGGTGACTTGGTTGGCCCTTCCTTAAATTAACATTTGAATCCACGTTGGCCATTCTATTTTATGAAGTAATTCTTTTAATTAGTCTTTAACTATAAGATTTGGTCATTACATGGATATTTAGAAGTTTATATAGTACATGTATTGCATTAAATCGAGACATTTTCTCCCGTTTGAAATGAAACAATAACCAATTGGATACGATTTCGTCTGGTTCGTTCAAAATCAAACAGCTTCAATCATGGCCATGGTTATAGTCACTACATAAAGTAAGTGAAATATATATATATAGTTGCAATCAAAACACTTACTAAATTATAAACATCACAATTGTATTTCAAAAGAATAAAACAACTTTCATATATAAAAAAAAAACAAAGTATTATACATAATATGCAATGCCTGATTCTTACAAAGTCTGTTTTTTTTTAACGACAAGGTCCTTAAAAGGGGAGGCGGGTATGATGTATACACCAATGAGTTGCTAGAAGAGGTATAACTGTTCATTCTTTGCGACTTTCATATACATGAGCCTGTTGGTAAATTCTCCTAAGAAATTGATATTTCAAGTCATATTAAATGATCAGTATTTCTAATAAGGATGAAATAATCAATATAAGTTATCTTTATATTATGTGTTACATATTGCATCACTGACTCATCATCAAGTACAGCGTAAATTCTGTAAATATCAGTCTATGTTTATATAGCAATCAAAAATATTCACAAAATTACCTAAACCCCAAGGAAAATAAAAAAAAAAACAGGAGGATCTCTATGAAACCTGACAAAACTAAGTGCTCAACTATATCAACCAACGGAACGAATGGAAAACAACCGTCATATTTCTGACTTGGTACATACATTTTTCAAAGAACTTTGTATGTTATACCTGGTTTTATATCCAGCCAAACCTCCCATTTGTCTATATAGCAATTAGATAGTATAAGAATATATTTATGTATAACGGTTTTTACAAAATGCAGGTAGACTGGATAGGTTGGGTTTTTTGAAGTCGGAATTTTCGTACCTACTATCTGACAATTTTCCTCTTTTCCTACCATGGCCCTTGAGAAACAGACAATATAGTTATAATAGTATTTGCAATTACTATCCAAAAAAAATTTAAAGGGTCAAACAAATTTTAATTCCAACATTTTCACAATATGAACTGAAGAAATATGTCTTAGTATTTTGGTAAAGGTATGCTGTAATTCTACCCGTCATCTTTTAAATTATTTTTTTCGAACATTCTTATATATCATTTGACTTATTATACTTAAAACAAATTACCCAATATGTTCAGTGGCAGGGATATTGTATCGGGCCATCACATTTCAAAATTTGTCATAAATTGTTTGCCTGTGCATTTTCTTTCATATCCTTTGAATAATCAATTTAATATGTTAATATTATTGTAACGTTCAGGAGTTTTCGAGTCAGGATTCTGGCGTTACTTATGTTGGCCACCGAAGAAAGAATTAATAATAAAAAATCATAATGGAAGTTCGTATATTGTATTATTTGCTGCTTCAGTAATAAAACATATGACAAGACATAAAATCCATTTATATATATTACATACAGGTGCATTACTTGCACCAAGTTTGATAAAACAATGCTTCTAGCAATCGGTGCAGGTAAATCTACTGGGGACATTACAATCTAATACTCTGCATACTTGGTGCAGGAAAATCTGATAGGCATACTCGGTGCATTGTTAACGATTTACCGAGCAAACAGTACATCAGCATTTTGATATGAAGACTTGGTTAAATTATAAAGTCTATTAAATAGTATCACCAAGCACTTTTACTTGGTACAGCAAACACATGCGTTTGAAATATACTGTTAACAATTAGGACACTCTTTGAGAGAATCTTCCAGTTGGAACATGCGTTCTGTATTTATACAAAAGAGTCGTTTACTGGTGAAACAAATTATTAATACAAAAGAACAAGAACACATTAAGTTACATTTTGGCGCATTACAATGGGGGTAAATGTAAGCAAATATAAAAATGAACAGTTACCCTCATAAATTAAGTCGGTGCGAAGATTTAACGAATAGTTATCAAAGGTACCAGGATTATAATTTAATACGCCAGACGCGCGTTTCGTCTACATAAGACTCATCAGTGACGCTCAGATCAAAATAGTTATTTAGCCAAACAAGTACAAAGTTGAAGAGCATTGAGGACCCAAAGTTCCAAAAGGTTGTGCCAAATACGGCTAAGGTAATCTATGCCTGGGATAAGAAAATAAATCCTTATTATTTCGAAAAATTCATACTTTTGTAAACAGGAAATTTATAAAATGACCACATAATTGATATTCATGTCAACACCAAGTCATTTAATATTGTAAGGACAGGTAAGCTATTCCTTCTGTGAAATCTGGAACAGAACGCAACAATGGACATCTGAATTTATCAAGTGAGGATCGAAGACCCCAGTGAAAAATGTAAACACAGCTTTGTAATTTACACAAGTTAAAACCACAGTAATAATAGAAGCTGTCTAATCACCGGGGCGTAACAGTATCAATGAATACATATATGCTAAATCAGGAAAAGGGAGAAAACTACACTCCTTTATCGACGGTTTTTTTTTCTTTACACATTCAATGGTAAAGTGATTTAAAGAAGCACGCTGAAGATACCAAAGAGCAAATCAAACTTCATACGTAGAAGTGAAACCGACACACCCATGGTTATAAACAAAACTTGACGAAAAAACAAACAACAGTCTACCAAACACTACATAAAATAAACTAAAGACTGATCAACACAAACCTCACTAAAGACCGTGGGTGATCTCAGATGCTCCGATATGCATATAAACTCAATATATACAAACTACGCAAATATTCAAGCTGTTTGTGCCAATATTGATGAAACTAAATCATGTATTACAAATTATCACATGTACTTAACATCAATTTGTCTCATTGCTGTTGTTTTTCAAGTTATACTTCTTCTTTGAACACCGAATGAAGGTACATGAATTATTATCTTTGTACCAGGAATTCAGTTCTGTTACTGTTGTTGGCAGTTCACGTCCCATAGTTTCAGGTAGAACCAATAACGATAGGGTGACAAATAGATTCAAACTAGCAAATACTCCTGCTGGGCCCCATGGAATAATGTAAGACTGAAAAGAGTAAAATAATTGTTTAATTCTTTACTTCATCGTGAAACCATAACATGAGAGAAAGATATAGCAAAATTGCATCATACCACTGCAATGTAAAAAAAATTGACAAAGATTTCAGAAAATACAGTAATTGCAGTTACTTTTGTGTGATTATATCAATCAAATCACTTTGTATTTCATACTTGTGCTATTTTTTGTGTCTTGATTTTCTCTTATTTGCTTTGTTCGAGAAATCAGAAACATTTTTGTAGTACAGTTACCGGTTATTCTGTCCCTTAAAGTAAAGTCTTTTAGCGCATTAGTGTCTATTTGAAATGATATACGACCTGACAGTTTTGTGATTTTGTTAATATCCTTGTAAGAAATAAATGCTGCTTTGGCTTTGGTATGCAAACAAAAGGACCCCAATTATTTTAAGTATTTATTTAAATTGTATTAATTGAAGAGCTATTTCAAAATGGGTCTCTTTTTCCCAATATATATTACCTCTCTTGGAGCATTAGACTAAGAATAAATATTTCGTAAATTTAGTAGATGTTATATTTACACTTTTCCGGTATAAGTTTTAACGTGGTAAAAACATTACAATAGCGTATTTCGATTTAGGTACAAAAATCCGATATAGACGATTACTGATTCTAATGTCAGCACCAATAATTGTGATATGACAAGAAAGATAACTACATGTAATTTTCAAAGAAATCAGACCTTTTAACAGCAAAATTCTTGAATAATTGAATATAATTACTGATGAAACTGATATGTAATTCGCAATTGACAAAATATACTTATTTGAAGTTCAAGAGAGTGTTAAAAAAAGTATAAGGAGTCGGGTGTTTGTGTTCATAACAAAAAGAGATAAGACGTGAAGACAAACAACAATCTTTGAACACAACACAGACAAAATCACGCAACATAATCCCTTCAAAAATCTGGGTTGAGGGTGCTACGGCAGGATAAGCAGTTCCAGATCCATTATTTGCACGCAACGTGTTGTGCGTGACAAGTAAACCATATCCATGTTCATCTCGGACACAGATAGACCATAACGGCCTTCAAAACAATGGTGGCGTCAGATAATTTCTAACAGGACACTTTCACATTCATCTTCAAGTATTATTGGTTTAATGTACGCGGCTATAATCTGGTAAGGAATTCATTGTAGGAAATACAAGCCCTGGAATATCGTATGTATATATATACACAAAACTGGAAAATTCACTATAGATTGTTTTTTGTAAAGTCAACAGAGTCGACAAATTTATGTTTCTTCAATTATAAAATCTTTATCGCTTGAAGTTTAATGCGTGAAGTAGAACTAGCAAGTCTCAATGGGAATGCCTATAGTCTTTTAAAAAACAACCACCAAACAAAACAAATATAATGTAGTTAATCAAACAGTTGTGCATCATTTTGATATAATTTTTAGGAGTTTTGTTGTTGGAATTAGAGTGTTAATTTATAAATCATGACTTGTCCGTTCCTAAAACAAGATATCAATATCTACAATGGCCGTTTATATAAGATGGCTATTTGGTTGTTTTTTAAACTTGTCAGTCAGTCTATAACGAGAAAATACTTTACTATGTATATTTCAATATTTGTATACTACTACACGAGGAGAGATACTTTAACTGATCTTAAGAATTTTTCTAGATCCTCATCTGATCCACATCGCCACTAGGATAGGTCAATTGCCGATAGATAGCCGTTATTTATTTTGATACATGTTCAGCAAGAGTATTTGACAGACCCTGCAAAAGAACTTGGTTTCTAAGAAATCTGATGCTATTGGTGAATCGAGGAAGACCAATTTCATCATCTTTGGTTGAAATTCAAGCCAACATAAAATACACATAGACATCATCTATAGTCGAAGTTTTATTGGAGTATATGTTAGGGTTCACAAATATTTTCAAAATCTAATCCCCTATCAAGAAGTTTTTATACTGATTTAAACAAACCATTATATTTTGGTTAAAAAATGAAAATAACACTTCATATATATAAATTTGAAAGACAAGGATGACTAAATACTTTAATATGTGAAAGAGCTAAATTGTCAATAAGAAAATAAAAAGAATTGCCAAATAAACAACAGGTCAACTTTGCTTGAGGAGTTGGAACATTAGTTTCCTAATAATTTATAAATTTATAAACGGAGAATTTAAGATTATGTAATAGACCATGTCAGTGTCGAGGTACTGACTATTGAGTCGATAATAACCTCTGGAATTAGCAGTCCATCATGAGTGGTATCAGTCCAGTATACGAATAAAATAAAAGTCGTTTTAGATAGTTTGTTTAAAAATATGCCTAAACACAGTAAAACACAAGAGTTTTCTTCATATCTCCGTTCATAAGTAAAATAAAAACAGACAATACCTAAAGGAAAACGACAAAAATGAAAACAATCCACAAATCAGTAGATAGAATACTTCACATTGAGTAATATGAAACCCATCAAAACCCAGGTGGACTGACAAGAACACAGAAACATATATATCAAGTTATGCTGTTTTGTACATACATATAAACCTTCACAAAATTTCAAAATGTTCCCTGTCGTTACCTGGAATTCTATGCGACTGTCATACAAGTGAGAGGTTTAGCTAGCTATAAAACTAGGTTTAATCAATCATTTTCTACATATGGAAATGCCTTTACAAAGTCAGGAATATGACAGTTTGGTGTGTTTGAGCATTTGATTTTGCAATTTGATAATTGACTTTCTGCTTTAAACTTTTCTTGGAGTTCGGTATTTTTGTTTATTTAATTTTTAAAACAGAAATTGTAGACAAGAAAAATAAACAATGACCATATAATAACGTCTTTAGACCATAACTTAATAAAACGCCTTTTAATCAACATCAACCCACCTATTTGAAATTTCTGATGCATTATATCTTGTGATTTACTGTTACTTTACATGTTTTCTTACAAAAATGGCAGACGATGTGTTTTATGCAACAACTGATAAAAGAGAGGCGGAAGATACCAAAAGAGGATTCATACTCATAAGTCGAAAACTAACCAATAACGCCATGGCAAAGAACAAAAAAAGTCGCAAAGACAAACAACGTTCTGCAAAACAAAACATAAAAAACTAAACGGAGCAATACGATCCCACCAAAAACCGATAGCGATCTCTCGTGCTAGGGTAGAGTAAGCAGGTGCTGACATTAACATTTGAAATATTGAACATTTTCCATTGCGATATTCATTGCATGTAGTTGCAACTTCGGCTACTGTCGAGTGTCAGAATTGCAAAGAGCGCAATATTTCAGTATCTAAATAAATCACGTAATTATTTATGATAGGATTTGTTAAAAATTCAAACTACTCACAAGAGTCATTGCGAAAGGTGACAACATGGATCCTATTCTAGCTAAAGTTGATGCAATGCCTAATCCAGCATTCCTGAAATATATAAATCTACTTTAAATACATTTGATCCTAATCCAGCATTTTTGAAAATATGAACCTATTGTAGAGATTGATGAGGCCATACCTAATCAAGCACTTCTGAAATATAAAACTACTCTAGATACAGTTGACGTCAAGGCTTATCCAGCATTTCTGAAATATAAACCTACTCTAGATACAGTTGATGTCATGCCCTAATCCAGCATTTCTGAAATATAAACCTTCTCTAGATACAATTGATGTCATGCCCTAATCCAGCATTTTTCAAATATAAACCTACTCTTGATACAATCGATGTAATGCCCTAATCAAGCATTTCTTAAATATAAACCTACTCTAGATACAGTTGATGTCGTGCTTTATCAAGAATGTCAGAAAGAGAAACCAAATCAGAGACATCACATATGATTGTCGTTTGTCATATTTAATTTATATACTTTTTGAAATCATTTAAATTTAATGAATCTTTCTCCCTCATGTATAGCTCTGATTCCTTTTCCAGGTTACTGCTATACTTTTTTATCAGCTCTTCAGCGCTTGTGTTTTCGAATATTTTGACATTGTGCATCACTGCCATTAATTGTCAAAATGCACAATTGCTGCAGTAAAAATTGGTACAGCTAAAGTTGGTACAGCTAGCAGTATCCTTTAATTTCACTTTCCGCTATATAGATGATGTTCTCTCACTAAATAATTCAAAATTTGGTGACTATGCTGAACGCATCTATTCCATTGAACTTGAGGTAAAGGATACAACAGATACAGTTAGGTCTGTCTCATATCTTGACTTGCATCTAAAAATTGGCAATTAGGGTTGGTGAAAAACAAAACTTTACGACAAAAGAGATGACTTCAGTTTCCCAATTGTAAACTTTCCATTTCTATGTAGCAACATTACAGCAGCACCTGCATACGAGTATATATCTCCCAGTTGATACGATATTCCAGGGCTTGTGGTTCCTGTCATGATTTCCTTGATAGAGGGTTGCTGCTTACAAAGAAGCTATTAAACCAAGAGTTCCAAGGGGTCAAGTTTAAATCTTCCCTTCGATATGTTCCAACTGTCGTAACTACAATCTCGTCCCCTTCCCCTGAACGTGACCTACCGAATTAGACATATAACTGGGTTTGTACTTACATTAGCAACACGACGGATGCCAAATGTAGAGCAGGATCTGCTTACCCTTCCGGAGCACCGGAGATCACCCTCAGCTTTTTGTGGGGTTCGTGTCGTTCAGTCTTTGGTTGTCTATGTTTTTTATGTACTGTTGCTTGTCTGTTTGTCTGTTTGTCTTTTCTTTTTTAGCCATGGCGTTGTCAGTTTATTTTCGACTTATGAGTTTGAATGTCCCTTTGGTATCCTTCACCTCTCTTTTATCAATGAGGGTTCATCAATTTTGGAAATTGATGTTGTCAAATTTTTTATAGCCCCTAGTGAATTTATTCACTACTTTCTAAATGCAGATGTAGAATATTGTATAGACATCTGTTTATCGTTGACCTTTAAATGTATTCTGTGCTGTTGGGTTGGACTCTCATTGACGTTTACCAAAATCTACTTTTATTTCATCAACTGTATCATTGTTTCTTTCTTGAAACTTATAATGCAGAAAACTGAGAGTAAGAAACGTTGAATAATGATATCTTTTTTGAACGAAATGCTTCAATCAGCCTTCACGGTTCTATCTCCCGGTATGGATTCAAAAAAAAAAGCAAGATAATACAAAACATAGTGGTAGTTTGAAAAGCTTAAATGGTGTTTATAATGAATATTAAAACTGTGTATTTTTGTATTGATAAGTCTGCTTGATTAAAATTACAAACCGTAAGTTCGTAGGATATAGTTCTGATGTGTATAAAAACACCGTACTGAACGATCCTGTTATGGCAAATCTTCCAATTAATGCAAAGACTGTTCCTAATACTGGTAACCAATCAAGTTGACCTGAAACAAAAGATGTAAAAAGAAAATATTATCAAAATCGATACAAAACCATTGCGAACATGGAGTCATTAAACACTACCTAAGTTAAGCTCTTGATTTCTTTTTTGAATTGTAGTAAAGAACAAATCCAGTTTTCCAGAAAAGCAAATATTGCTGGTAATGGCAGCAGAGACTTAATAACTAATATTCGTAATTTATGAGATGACATTGATCATGGCTTTATAATTTTACCGTTTCGTAATCTGTTAACTTCATAGAAATACTTTTAAAAATACCAGTTTCGAGCTAAGGTATATGATGCAATACAGATAGATTGTAGATCAACAAGTTGAAATTTGATCACTTAAGAAGTTTTTGTATGTCTGAGTGTAAGGTGCATAACATTTCCTATGCCAGTTGTTTCTTTTGTTTGTTATTTTTAGTTTTTGGTTGTTGTTTTTTTTTTTGGGGGGGGGGGGGGGGGGGGGGTACTAATAAGGCTTCTATCTACTTACCACCGTATGTTGTACACACCATTGCCAAAACCATTGATATTCCAGCTATACCGTGAAATATGATTAACATGCACTTTCTTCCTATTCTGTAATTGATAATTGAATAAACTGTAAAAGAACATTTATTCATATAAAGCAGACTTCATACAGCAGCTTCTTAGAAAGAATATGTCCGCTTACTAAATAAGTTAACTTCTGGTGACTATGTTGAAATCGTCTATCCCATCGAACTTGAAATAATGAATATATATATATATATATATACAGTTAAGTCTGTTTCATATCTTGACTTACACCTAGAAATTGACAATAAGGGTCGGTTGAGAACAAATATTTACGATTACGAAAAAAGAGATGATTTCAGCTTCCCAATTCTGAACTTTTCCATTTCTATGTCGCACCATTCTAGCAGCGCCTGCATATGGAGTATAAATGTCCCAGAGCTTGCAAACCCTATCATGATTTTCTTGATAGAGTGTTGCTTCTTAAAAGGAATATATTAAACTAAGGGTCCAAGTGGAAAAGTCATTCCTTCGAAAATTTTATGAGACGCCATCACGAGTTGGTTGACTGTTATGGAATATCTATATCACAGATGACGATGGATATCTTCCAAAAAAGAGGCGGAAGATACCAAAGAGATAAGTAATCACATGAGCAACACAATGGTAGCCATATGTGAAGCAGGATTTGCTTACCCTTTTAGAGCACCTAAGATCATCCTTAATTTTTGATGGGGTTCGTGTTGCTCAGTCTTTCGTTTTCTATGTTGTATTTTGTAGACTGTTGTTTGTCTTTTCGTCGTTTTTTGTTGTTGTCATGGCGTTGTCAGTTTGTATTCGACTTATGAGTTTGAATATCCCTTTGATGTCTTCCGCCTCTCTTTTGTCCCTGAAGAAACTGTAGTGTGGTAGCTATATTCTTTTCCTTTTTTGTTATTAAAAGAAAAATATAGAAAGTTACAAAGGTATGACAAGTATTGATGTTTGTGCTATGCATGAAGGCAATAAGACAAGATAATTCGACATAAGTAGAAACAGTCAAGAAATACACATTCATATAGCAATATATATTTATTTCTTTTGTAGTATATACATATATGCATGATCACCTTTAGACTGTTTTATACTGTAAGTTAGAACATTGCTATACTTATATGTTATGTTTTGTTGACAAGTTAACAAATATAATCTATGCAAAGGATAACAAATGTTTAAAATGTTTTGGCTGTCGCTCAAAAACAAACCTAACCATTCTAATAATTACTTGTTATATTGATGTTAAAAATAGAGATGTTTTAAGTCACACTTGCTGAATCTGATACCTGTTAACAAAAATTTGTTGTACTATCGCAGCAGGATATTCAGTAAGGCAGGCTAGAATATTGTTGAGATATCGGTCGCCCGAGAGGGTCGATGTAGTCAGCATTAATCCATAGTATGTTAACGAATTGGTGATCCTAAAATTACATATGAAACTAATAATGTAAGGTTCTCGTACAGGTCTTAATATAAAACTAGACAAAGTGATGTCCCCGCACTCCACTCTGAAGTAACTGTATCATAACAAAATCAATGTAGGACTTTCTTTGGGATATTATTGTGTCTCAATGATGCCTCCGCAGATGCAAAGTGTTATTTTAAAGTACACAAAGTTGAGCATGGGAGCACATAGGTCTATGGTTCACTGTAGGAGGAGTAATCTGGAAACGCTATACACCTCTTATGCAAGTATATACTCCAAAAATGACAAAGTTCAACTTTCTCCCAAAAGAGCAAATATCAATAAAAATCAAAATCCTATCCACAGGCACACCTTCAATATATGTACAAACAGCCAGCAAAGTGAAAACTTCCTAGCATTCAAACTGTAGGGGGAGTTATCTCGAATAACTATATACCTATAATGGGACGGACGAACAGACGGAAGGACAGACGGACGGACGGAAGGACGGACAGATTTAAAACAATATGCCCCACACTTTTAGTTGCGGGGGCATAAAAATATGCGAAAAAATGAAACACATAGGTCCAATCCATTTCGAAAAGAAGATGACCCTAAATAAGATAATTATATATTTAAGCAATGAGTTATTTAAGGTGTGTTTATCATACAAAATGCTGGTACGATCAATCTGAAAACTCGACAAGAGTGTTTTCAAGACATGTATAATGAAGGTTGACGTGCAGAAAAACTGTTTATGTATTCCACGGAAAACTTATGGTAAAATCATCCTTGAAACTATCGCATATAAAACTTGGGTGTTAAACCACAGGCACTTATCTCTGAAAAAAATACCTATATACTTTAATATAAATAGGTTTTTCATATTAGAATAGCATTCATGACTTAACTTAAGTGTATTACAATTGTAAACCTACAATGTTACGGGTTTCTTAAAACTCACCAAGCAATCCACAGTATGATAGAACATCCCAGCATTCGTTTGTTTCTCAATATTGTGAAAATACTATATTTATGTACTGTAGATTTTTCGTCTTCGTCTGGATCAGCATGTTTGGCTTTTTTTGGGGCACACTGATTTTCCATTGGAATATCGTTTGACTGCTCAACTTGAATGCTTTTAATGACCAGTTGATAATTAGTATAGTTCAGCTTGGTGGCTTTTTTCAACAAATTTTCAGCTTTCTCAGTTTTGCCATTTGCTATTAGCCATCTTAATGACTCATCTAAAAACCTACAATAGATTTAAAACATACGAAATATGTTTTGTCTCGAAAAGAAAAAAGACAATGAAATTAAGTTCAATGTATTTTCGTGCCTGCAATGATAACGATAAGTCTATAGATAATAAAATAACAGCAATTATTCAATACCTCAAAACAAACGTTTTGCTTAATTTTTTTTACATCAGGATCAGCAAGACATTCTTAGTTTTCTATTATACTCTTTAATTTATTCATACATGTAATAGTATTAAAACTTTTAGCATCATGTATAAGTGAAAAAGTGGTTGTTCTTTTCTTTTCGTTTCGTAAAAAATGCAATGATTAACTACAATTTACTTACAACCAATCAAATAGTGTGTGACAAGTTATAACTGCTAGTACTAGTTGCATGTATCTCCATGTTAAATCCCGACACAAATATCCAATCACTGAGGTCAAGACAAGCCCTGTTGTCCATGCGATTATATTAGCACCTTCAGCACGATGTCGTAGTTCCTTTGGGAGCAATTCTATATACAAAATCGTACATGTCATAAGACTTCCCTTAAAAACAAAATATAAAAGCAAAGTAGTAAACAAAATTTGATTTAAATGAGGCATATGTTAACAGTTTCAATCTAGAGTATCGAGAAACTAATCGTATAAATCAGAGCAAAAGTAAGGTTCAATAAGACTTTTTACCATGTAGAAAACTAGTTTACAAGACGCCTTTCGCTTTTAATCAGGATTTGTTTTTATTGTTCCTATCAGTGTGTGCTTTCAGTGTATTATGTATTCGTCTCCGAATCAGGATTCTTGTTTCTAAAAACATTTACATGTATACTTTCAATTTTTTTACTGAAATATAACAATACTCTTACAAAATTTACATAACAAAGGACCAATATCTCGTATATATATATACTAAAGAATTGTCTTGTTGTTTTTTTGTTGTTCTCTCTCTCTCTCTCTCTCCCCCATAAAATCGAATGTATATTCCATAATAAATAAGATGATTTGATTATCGATACTAAATCGTGAACATTACACTAGTAGTCTTCTTTTGTTTCAATGTAAACTGTACTCGGTGTTGAAAATAATATCACATTTTAACCATTATCCGTAAATTCGTTGTTCGTACCCCAAAATGAAAATAACGTAACGCCATTGGTTGAATTTTAATTGTTTAAGACGTGTTTAACCAATCACATAGTTTTGGTGTACGCTTTTGAAAATATTACACAGAATGCATTATATTCTGAAACGGCGAATTGATATCACTAAAACAGATTTTGCTCCATATCTTTACGAATACAAAATAAGAATAAGACAATGAGGTATTGAATCAAAAGGCAAAACCCATGTATCTACAAGTCACAAATAATCAAGCTTACTAAAGTTTCATTGAAGAATGAATCATGTAGTGAAAGTTTTAGGACTAAGTTATTTGTCAATTTTATACACGCACAAAAAGTTAGTAGTTCATAAAATAGAACAAACTATTAAGATATAGAGTTTATATTTTATACATGTAACTGTCGAGAAATGTCTTGTGTAACTGTCAAAAGATACAAAATTCAACGTCTGATAAAATAACAAACATATCTACAAAAAACTAATTAAAACATGCATATTAACAACAATCTATGTAAGCAAAAATAACAGGAATAATTCAAGCAACAAACACCCTAACGGAAACTCAGGACTGAATACTTCAAGAAACGACCTAACGGTATCTCAATATATACTAGTACTACTTATAAACTATCGGAGTACTATATACTTAACATACATAAACTACCTAACAGTATCTGAGTACTACATACTTAAAATAACGACATAATTGTATCATGACACTCTTAAGTTTTTTTTATAAGATAATATAAATCTTATCATTATATATTGCTAGCATTTTTGATAAGATATAAAAAAAAAATATCTGCATACAGACAAAAAGGGAAAAGGTAAGATTCAAGTACTTACGCCTTGAAATGTTCCTTGTAGAAATCTGAACACCAAAAATACTGAAATGTTAGGAGAGAACACAGTCGCCAAAGCTGTAAAAAAGTACATAATTCTGGCAAATACATTGCTTGGTTTTCGTCCTATCTTATCTGATATAGGAGAGAAAATAACTGCTCCTGTTGCTTGGCCTAGCATAATCAGAGTTGTTAATAGTTCTGAACGTTCTGCGCCACTGCATACAAGATCCCACTGTTAATAAAGAAGAATAAAGTTAAATCAAATCCAATCGGTATCGTTCCAAGGATTAAATTTATAATAAACTGTAAATGTGTTGATATTCAAATTTTGAATAACAATCTTACTAGCAAGGATAAAATACGATATACAATATAAGAAGGCAATCAAAAACTGTTAGTTGAGGAAATACAGAAGAAAACACCATGGCCAAATGGAAAAACACCATGACCAAATGGAAAATTACCATGACCAAATGGAAAACACCATGGTCAAATGGGAAAAGACAAACAAATGTCCACTCAACAGTTACACAATTGAACATTGAGCATTGTAAGCCAAACCAAACATTTTGAGTGAACTCAGATTCTCCAGGAGATTAGCCAGTTCCTGTTCCGCAAGTGATTTCCGTAGAGATACAAGCATGTAGACAAAAGATATCCTTTATCAATATTTTCCCTATCATTTTATACACATTTTTAGCATTTTCAAAACTTACTTCAATTTTTTCGCAAATATGTTGATGTAATTGTAAAATGTTTTGGTAGCTAAACGATTTTGCTCATATTTGATATTACCAAAAACTTTGTGCAAAACAACAGTTTTAAGTCAAATATGTAGATTTTAAATGTTTCTAGCGATTTGCAAGAAATTTTCTTCGTTCAACTGTCAAATATTAGCTGTTTCTTGTAGCAACATGCAGTTTTGTTTTTTTGTTTCAATCTTACTTGTAAAGACTTTGTAGGTAGAATATGAACTGAAATGTTGACGTCACAAGTTTCCACAGAAACTCAACATATTATATTGAAATCAATTGATGTACAAAAACTATATTGGGATAGTTAAATAAATGAATGACTTTTGTCCAGCCAATGTACCTCAAAGCTATATGTTTTAAATAAATATAATAAAACTAAGGTTGCAACTCCCATAGCATATTAAAATGTAGACGGTTATGAGGGTCTGGACGGGGGTTACTGAAAAGAGAATAGCCAAAAAAATAACAAATAGAGGAAATGAGCAAAAAATATAAAGAATAGAGAATAATATGGGGTGCAAAAGTATAAAGAATAACTATGGAAAATAAAAGAATTAGGTAATACAATACTGATTACAGAAACTATGATGTACAATGCACAGAATAAAGAAATCGTCTAATTGCAGAAAATTTTAATAGTAAAACTATTTTCATGAGAATTTTACCTAATAAGTGTTATTCTTAACAATAAAAAAGATGCTCTAAAAATTTGATGAATACAGAAATTAAGAACCCTCATCAAGACTCTCAGTTATTGCTGTTTTTTTTACCCTTTTAGCTTTTTTTGCTCTGAAATGTTATTTATTTTTTCTCAAACTTTTGGTCTTCAGCAACCTAACGAAGAAGCATGTGTGGTGTTACTGAAATCTGAATCAAATCGTTCAGGCTTGAAAAGTATGCTCAGTTTGAAGAGATAATCAATTAAAGTTTTGCAAATAATGAATGCTTATTTTGAACATATGAAATAATATGTGTTGAATCAATACCTCAGTGACTGTCGTTCTTTCCTTTGGGATGTCATACTTGTAGCCATTTATACAACCCTCCTTTGAGGTGAAACTAGAGAGAGACGTATTCACACTTATACTTATATCGCATTTTCCGTATGATATGTCTATGGTAGATGATTGACTGATATTACGGTCTTGTAAGTATTTGGTAGAGTTGATGTCTTGACACTGGTAAAAGGGTCGATAAGCTGAAATATATCATCAAATGTATACAGACAAAAATTCATAGGGCATAGTAACTTTTCATTTGAGGTTAGGGTTAAGGTTAAAAGTACTAAATTTAGCCTTTGATTTATTGTCAATAATGTGTTCGAAACTGTAAATGTATAAGAATGATCGATGGAAAAACATATAGTTTTTGAAGTTTCCTTTTAGAAATTATCTCTCATCAAAATAGTTCTAGAGACGCTGTAAATAGTTCTAGAGACGCTGTAAATAGTTCTAGAGACGCTGTGAATAAAGGGCATCTACTAATTTCCCTGTGTTCTATTTGTACCTGCATGGCTTGGTCCGTGTTTTGTTATGTGAATCTCCTAAAATCGTCCAGGTTCTTGATGCAATTGGGTGATAAAGATTCGCTCAGAGTTAAATTGAAATTGTGAAGAAGAAATTTCATATACAAGATGTCTTTTCGTTATATATGTATATAATTATATATAAATAAGTCTAAATTGAAAACAACGCACAAACAACATTTTCCAAAAGACCAAATAATTGAAAAAGTATATTTAAACAAACGCATTTGACTAATGAGGAACGAACGTACAATACGAATGAACATACGTATGGAATAAACGATTAAATATAAACTGACACCGCCTTCGAGAGTATTATAAAGATTTCAGGTTATAACATAACTTTTATCAAAGACAGATGACAGATGCACCTTGAAGTGTTTGAATGTTACGTCCTTACATTTGTAATCAGCGTCAAGGTCAAAGGTTAAGGTTACATCCAAATATGTTCAAGTCTAAATGTTATTTAAAATACAATTAAATTATCGATGTATCAACAGAACAAAACTTTTATTATTTTGTTTACAGCGTCAAGATGATTAATTCGATTTTTTGACAACACATTGTGGACGTGTTCAAGGTTTATCATTTAACTTCAAATTCCTCAAATAAGATAATGTCCTTTTACTGAATAATTACTTTTTTGTGACTATATTGATCATCTCTTTCCAATTGCATTTGAAATTAAGAATACATCTGACACATTTAGCACAGGCACTTTCCTCTGAAAACAAATTACTTATATACGTTAATATAACATTTTGTATTAAAAAAAAGTATATAGATATTTTTTTCATAGACAAGTGCCTGTGACATTTAGGTTTACTTCTTATCTTGACTTACCCATGGAAACTGACAATGAGGATTGTAGGAAACTTAATGAAAAAAACCAATCCGTTCCCCATTTTGGAGTGAAAAACGTAAAAAAGACATTTTACGGCTTAGGGCTTTTCCAGAATTAATTGAATGGGGGAGTCGAAGGCACTTTTATCAAAATTTTATGGGTGGTAATTTTAGGCGGATAGCCTTAACACATATATGAAATAATCAATCAAACATTTTATGTATGGCGAGGTTAAATAAAAAGTGCTTTCCTTCCCCAAACCCCACCCCCCACCCCACCCCTACATTTATTTCTGGAAATGCCCTTACAATTCGATGACGTGAAGCTTAATTCAACGTTTTGTTTAGTATTTTTTCACATATAACACCACTTTGAATGATGCATACACTAAAAACGAACTAGGTCACCCTTTTTTATTTTACATCATTAAAATGGAAATTTATGTACCAACAACATATACAACTTTTTAAGATAAAAATTCTAAGATTTGACGATTTTAAGACACATTTAAGGTCAAGGGACAGTAAATGAGCTTACAAATGCGATGACATTACGATTAATTCGACGTTATGTGGGTTTTTTTTTTACCTAGAACACCACTTTGAATGATGTATACCATTAAAACGAAGTCAATGACCCTATTATTATTTCACATCATTCAAACGGAAATTTATGTATGTAAACATATAGTTTTTTAACAAAAATATCTATGAAGAAATAACATCAAAAATGTGGTGCACACCGAATAACCCGCGTAGTGGGTTATTTAAAAGTGTGCGCCACATTTTTAAGGTTATTTCGAATAGACAGAAAAAATATTACAGTTATTCCTTATAATTTAATTCGAAATTCCATTTTTAAGGAGTAAATCATGAAAAAAACGTTGATGACGTCACGGTCACATGACAAAATTACGTCTATGAGCTGATAGACAACAAACTTTCAGCCAATCAGAAGACGTGTTACATCCAAAATAAAATTATCTATAAATAAAAAGGAAATTACAAGCATCATTGAGAAGTTCGTCCGACTAATTGACGAAGCAAAGCAAGGTTGAAATGAAAAGTTTTGACGGCATAGATAAATCGTATATTGACCTTGCATGGAATGACAAAGTAGAATAAACACGAGAAACTATTTCATAAACAATATTAGAGATTTTATAATGAGCGGAGCAGATACTATGGTAATTAGTAAAAAAAAGTGCGTTGAAAAATAAACATAGAAACTCTCTTTTAAGAACCGACTAATTCTTAATATGATGATAAACTCATCATAGATGCCAGGCTTCAATTGTGTACGCCAGACGCGCGTTTCTTCTACAAAAGACTTATTAGTGACGCTAGAATCACGCTAGAATAAAAAAAAGTTAAAAGGCCAAATAAAATCAAAAGTTGAAAAACATTGATGACCCAACATTCCAAAAGGGTTTGCCAATTACAGCTAATGTAATCTATTCCTGGGATAGAACATCTTTAGAAATTATTTTCTTGTGAAAAGGGCATACTATGCTTGTCAGTTATGGATGTATTTTCATTCTGTAAAGATGTGGAAAGGAAGACATTATAAGTATTTTCATAAGCCAAGGCATTCACTATATATGAGTGATATATCTTACAGAATCTATGTGATAACTTACCTATATAAACGGATGAAATTAAATGAAAACTGTCTTCCAATACAAAGAAACATATCAAAATTAACTGAATTTTTTGGTATCTACCAAAACTTCCAAGCGTTTTCAGAATGTTGTCTACATCTGTAGCAGGATTTATTTCCAAGTTCCGTCTGTTTTGATCTAAGCTATTATCAATTGTAGATACCTCCATGTTCAAATGTATATCATAATAAGTGACACTTTTCTCAAATACTAAAGTCACCTCTTTGCTTGTTAACATGATATATACTGTCTAAAAAATATTACGTACATATAAATACGCCCATCAAATTATTAAAGATTTGCATGAAGACCTACTTTGAAGTAGTACTAGTGCAATTACGGATTTGTCTTATGATATTTTTTTTCTTCTCATTACATGTCACCAATGATGAACATGTAACAATAAATTGTTTTGTACTTGTTATAATAGAAACCTTGGCAGTTTTTATTGGTGTCAAGTTACTAGTAGGATTATCTTCTACAGTAGGTGAAGACAAATGTCCAAAAACTAACAATGTCATGAGACATCTCAGTCAAGCAGTGGTTATGAGGAAACAATAGCGCACTATAATATGAATAGTGGGAATTTTATAAGAATTGAAAACAATATGTAAAGTAAAAACTATTGTATAACTCCAATCGGGTCAGCTGATCATTTTTTTAAAAATCAAACGTAAACGAAAATTATACAAACCAACGACTACCACTGAATTATATGCCCCTGACTTGGAACAGACTGATTAAGAATATGGCGGGGTTAAACATGGTTTACTTTTATAAATTTTGACTTGGATGGAGAGTTGTCTCATTTGCACTCATACCACATCTTCTTATATCTATTTATGGACGCTCAATCTACCCTAACCTGGGAAGTGGTGTATAATAAAAGAATAACCTAAAAAAACGTTTGAAATTGCTTGAATCATCAGATTGGCACAAAAATAAACTAACAAAACGACAAAATACACAAAATACCGATTACACGAAGTTACTGAAAGTTAGTTCAAAACCAATAACAAGAGTAATAAGATGCTCACTGGGCCGTAACGCTTGGTCTCACTCCTTTTGAATTTTATTGATTTCATTCTTATATTTGTCTGTACCCGCTTAACGTCGGAATACAACCTTATTTGTGTGAATCAATTCATTTTCACCATTTTTAGAAATAATCAGAATTCAAAGAAAGGGAATATATGTCTCGCAATAAATGGTACACCATGAAAAAGTTATCAATAAACAAGTCAGTGACGAATATATTTTCAGATCAAATTTTTGGTCACGATAGACGAAAATCTTACTTTTCAATGGACAAAACCTTTTTTTAAATCTTTAAAATCGGTCTGTGCTTAACAAAATCTCTCTGAAAGGAGTAGTGTTCACGAAGTGTTAGAATTGGCTTTAAGATCTTGCTGTTTTTTCTTTAATCAGGCCAAAATACTACAAATTCTACATATAAATAATTCTTAAATGTTTTTAGCATAATTTACCTTGGCCGCCACCCCTAATTTCGATTTTTTGTTTTGGGATTCAATATCATCATTGGCATCTTTTGGATGCAGAACATTTTAGATCATAAGTTGCGGCTAAGGGTTTCCTCAAGCTCTATGGTTCGAAAAACAATATATCAATAGTGTGCTGACTTTGAAGCCTAGGAATATCCATTGAAGAACCAAATTATGGCCTTTATGATATTTCATGATAAAGGTGAAATGCAAGGCCATATTTGAACCTTGACCTTAAAAAACATAAGCAAGATCTGAGTAATGATGAATGCACTTTTGGTGAAAAAAACTTCTTTGTTGAAACATTAGATATGTATGTCAATGGTGTGTCTGTAATAAGATGTTGATATCGTGAAAGGTGAATTGTATGCTACATGCAATATTATAAATAGTAAGTTACATTCTGTGGTATGAAAGCCAATACGATAACTATCAACCAACGACAAAAAACACGGATGTATAAACAATATTTCTACATTGTTGAAAATGTATTATTATTATTATTATTATTATTAAACGTTATTTGTTTTTGGATTAAATCGATTTGACTTAACGACGGACTGCGATGAGGACCACCAAATTAAACCCGTTCGCTCGCAACGGGAGAAGGATATCAGGAGACTTTATATACACGTATATCGCTTCGTGTTATCTGTACACCTGCATTTTAGAAAATGTCAATTGCAGGATAAAAAGAAATATACATGTCACTATGCTGCGTTTAGGTGTCAGACTACCAATTCACCCACTTCAGTTTAAGAACATATGTAAAAGTAGCCCTTCCTTGACGAAAAATAGTGCTTTTGATGTCATTGTTTACTTAAACTAACAAACAAATTTGCAGAAATGAAACTTTTGATGAAAGAGAAATATATGTGACCATTTTGAGCCAAAATTTACTTGTCCTTGATTTTGCATTAAAAATTGAGGATTAATGCGCTCCATGGTATACTTATTTAAGATTTCCAGAAAACTAGGGGATATTTTTATTAGTAGTTGAGTTCCGAACTTGGCATGGTGATACATGTACACTTCAGAATATACGTGGTTTCTATGAAGTTAAACTTAAAGTAAAATATTTAGAAAGCTGTGAAAATTGAAAAATTTGGTTGATTATTTAGGGGTTTTGACTTGGTGGTCCGACACTTTTAACAATGAGCAGATATCTATACCGTACACCATATTAAAAAATAAAAGATATGTGGTATGATTGCCAATGAGACAACTATCCATTAGAGTTCAAATAAGTGGATATAAGCAATTATAGGTCACTGTACGGTGATAAATGAGAAAAACCAATACCCGACATGGAAAATGTGAAACAATTAAAACTAGAAAACTAACGGCCTAATCTATAACAAAACAATTTACGAAAAACAAAAATGACAGATATGAACCAACACAACCACTGAACTACAGGCTCCTGATTTGGGTCACACACCAAAAGAATGTGGCGAGGTTAAAACTATTTGTGAGCGCTCAACCGTCCACTTACCTGGGACAGCACAAAGATAAGAAGAAACTGTAAAAACCCGTTGCAATTGGCTTACCTCAAAAGATCGGTAAAACGCACAAAAACAACTAACATAAAAACAATAGACACAAAGCACTGGTATAAAAGATACTCGCAGTTACTGAAAGCTAATTCAAAGCAAACAACAACTTATGACTAAATCATGTTCTCCAATGCCAACTAAACAATCTATCCAGCAGCATGTCAACAACGAGGATAATTATGTTCTTACCAAATGGTTAGAGACCCATGACTTTTGATAGATTTTCAACAATTTTCAAAATATACGTTACACATTGGCAATTTTGTCCACTAAACAAATACAGAACGCCATATTGTTATATTTTAAGAATGCAGTTTTCCCTTCATGGAAACAAAATATTTCATTTCCATCTAGGCACAGATCCACTGTCTAATGAATGTTATGTCTTTGGTTTACATGTATATCCTCTTAAAATAAACAAAACACATTCTTAAAACACATTTTTGAAGACTTGTAAAAATGACGTTAATGAGATTTTAATACTGTTAAAAGCTGCAGAAAGACAACATCATACTACTTTTTAGCTACCTCATACATGTCATATGTAATACGTATTTTATTAGGTCGACTTGACAACTTTACATGTATTATGTATGCATTGACTTTCAATAATGACAATTTGTTTATGACGTAATTGAATGGAAAGATGTAATATGCAGTATTTCAGTTAATATTCATCCATTTGTACATTCTTCAAAAGTATGTAACTTCCGTGTAGACATATCTTCAATCTTCGAGACGTCAAAAATGAAGACTTATTTTAGATACATGAAATATCCGAAAGATGGAAACTAAGCACATACGTTATCGTTTGTTGCTGTATATCATATTTGTTTTTCGTTTATTGTTTTTTACATGTAAATGAGGCCGTTAGTTTTCTTGTTTGAATTGTTTTACATTTGTGATTTCGGGGCCTTTTATAGCTTACTATGCGGTTTATGTTTTGCTCATTGTTGAAGGCCATACGGTGACCTATAGTAGTTTAAAACTTCTACGACATTGGTCTCTGGTGGAGTGTTGTCTCATTAGCAATCATACCACATCATCTTCTTTTTAAAGTTACTTTTAATTTCAAAACTTATGAGATATTTTTAACTGGAATATCAATTTTAATATGCATGCTTTGCTTATGTATAAACTTTTTGAAGACATATTTTTGGGGGATCCTCCCTCCCGCTGAATCCCGATTCTCTCCCACTGGATCACCGTTCCCTCACTCCGGAATATCTGGACCACTCCGGAACATTCCGGAGTCGGCCTGAATCCCGGTTCCCTCACATCGGAATATTCATCCGGAATCCGGAGTAACATTGGATCCGGACTCCGACCACTCTGGAATATTCCGGAGTCACTTATCCAAACTCCCCGGCAGTTACAGCTCCGATCCGCATACTACCCTCTACACTAATTGATGGAGTAAAGGAAACAAGTTCCGGAACGAAAACGATCACTGTACTGAGTTTGTCACTTACCATGTCCATTATTAAAATTTCCGTCCACTCCGGAATATTCCGGAGTACCTGTTTTATGTTACATAAGGACGTTTCGATCAAAATGAAGGACGAAATTCGTTAAAATCACCGAATGAAGTCACTTCAAATTGCTAGAAATTATATATGAATCCAATATCCAGGTTTAATAAGAGAGGAGGTTTATTCGTGCGTGACAAATATATGAAGTAGTTACATAAGATGAGACGAATTAAAAGGAACAATTCAAGTCAAACATAATTAAAAAAACAAAAAAAAAAACAAAACGAAGAAGAGATAGATGACTATTCGACTTGACGTGCATAAATATACTGTTAAATTTGAAATGCAAATTCGAGTACTCTTTCTGATATGTGCATACTTCAAATTCCTTTAACATGTCTATGCTTTATATTATGAAGCTCTTTTTTCGCTTTATATTTCACTTTCAATACAAATATTTTCTGATTTCCTGGAAATATAGGGTACTTTAGCAATTAAACTTGAAACATCTGCTTGATCTTAAACGACGCTTGAGATAAAAATTTACATTTTGTGGGTGTTGTTTGCTTTGTTTTCGATGATATCTTTTAAAAAAAGGATATATGTACTCGCTGTGAAGCATCACCGCCAGATAGAGGTTACCCCAGAGCGATGAAAAGCAAAAATTATCTACTCCCCGTACAGTAAAAAACTATTAGACGTCCAATTTATCCGCTTTATTTACA